TGAGAGACAGGAGAGAAAGGAGAATAAGAGGAGAGAGGGTTCCTCGGCATGTTAGATTGGTCTCTATTGACCTGTAAACCTTTGTGACTGGAACAAATGCAAATGGCGCTGACTTGCTCACAGAAAATACTAAAGGGCTATTCAAATGAGCCACTGCCAACAATGCAACATTGGCCTACCCATGGAGCAGCCCTCGTCTGGAGCTGGGCCTTCAAACTCAACATTAACAACAGTCTAATGAAAAACAAAACAGGTCTATGAGAGGTTCGGTGGATGTTTGTTTGAAAAACCTTCAGCATTTTGTCTTTTTTTTTTTTGCAATTATTTTTATCATGAAAATAATTTAGTCATTTAAAAACTAGCTGACTGAATTAATACAAAATATCTCTTTTTAAGAGAAAAAAATTGACAAAAATAGCCATTTCTGCATCTCAAATGGAATTGTGCAAACTTTCCCAAACTCAAGCCAACAGTTGAGCCAACGTTGCTGTGTCGGGCTTGCTGGGGTGCTCAAACAAAGAACAATGTTTTATTTACACTTTTTTGGAGAAATCTACAATAAGTTTTCTTATAGTTGACGGAATATTGCCATATCTTAGTTAACACAGTTTTAGGCGTGTTTTTGCTTTTCAGTTCTTTGAAATATTGAGACAGCCATTTTTAAATTTTTGTCTTGAATGCTTTGTGTAGAAAAGGCAATACATCATATAACAAACGGAACTGTTTAAGGTTGACACAATGGTCACTTGAATGTGACAAGGGAGAATCTTTACCAATAAAAAGCTGGAAGAGGCTTTATTCCAACGGATGGGTAGATTCTTATCAGCTCTTGTCAGATGTCGTCACAATCATCAGAGTTTTAAAGACACAAAATAGCAAGTTTCACAACTGCACTACTACTACAGAACCTGCATAAAAATTTGATTACTCCGCAAAACAACAAAGACTTTGCTCTTGAAAAAGAGAAAACTATAAGCAAAGGATGATATGTAAGACAAATGCAGCTGTGACAAACACCACATCACTCATTTGTCATTATAACTTGCAGGAAGGTGGAAGACGATGCACGAACAAGTTCGACAGGTCATATTATTTCAGTCAAATAAAAATCATATTACTCATAGTCTGTCGGTGAGCTTAGGTAAATCATTTAAAAAACACCAATGGGCACAAGCAGCTCACTTGCTGATAAAAAGATTTACACCTGTGCAACTTGAGATTTATTACATGCCAAACAAAAAGTTTATGTAATAACATTTTATGCATGGCTATGATCTCTAACAATGAAATATCTCAAGGACACTGTTCTGCTCAAGCTGGATGATTTTATTACTATGTGAGATAATTTCACAAATTCTGACACTCATGCAAACTAAACAGTCCTTATTTGGTCTTTGTCAGGGCAAATTCTCGATTCGCTGCACTGTAAAAAAACTATCATGATTTTAACAATAAAACAATAAAAATGCTACAGTAAAAACCTATTAATTTTATGTAATTTTACAGTATAATACTGTTAAAATCATGGTTTTTGGAAGTGAAAAAAGAACAAGTCATTGTATAATTTACAGTGAAAAACGTAAATTGACAGTCCCAGAATTCCCTGCATGAAGCTTCACATTTGATGTTTTTTTCTTTGAAATAACCGTTTCTTCTAAGTTTTTTTCTTATCAGTTGTGTACATTAGGGATTTATCTTACATCTAATGTTGTTAAATTAAAGTTTATTGCAATATTTCAGTATCACATGTGTTACCATGATGGTGTTTATTATTTGTGTGAATGACACTGTGCACCTTCTATATATTAGTATTTACCTCTCCAGTTTGTGGAAAAGTTGCTTGTGAAGAGCTTTGATTCATCATGTGACTTTCTCATCACCAACTGTTTATGGTGGTTATCAGTGTATTACAATGTTACAAAACAGGTAATTAGTACTTCAATAGGTTGGTGTATTAACATTATATCAGTTAATGAAATGCAGTTTTTTAACTGTGAATTTAAGTCTGAAAACCTAAAATGTTGCTACCATATTTTTTACGGTAAAGTTCTGGCAACCACAGCTGCCAGCATTTTACCGTAAATGTTGAATTTTTTTTACAGTGTGTAGCTGGGAAGAAGTTTGGATGTTGCAGTGGCTGAACTGGAAGCTTTTGCTACGATATGAAATTGTTATGACATTCTGATACCATTAAACCACACCTACGGAGAGCAGATGGAGTAGCTCACAGTCACACAGATTGGGTTCTTACATTACAGCTGGACAGAGCAGAACAGAAGACATGCATTTTTCAAAGTTGCAATATTTTTAACTTGACACAGTGTCTTAAAAACATGGTGCTCATGGTGCAAGATGCTGGAAAAACAGCGTGATATGACAAAATCAACCAAAACAGTTGTCCGACTGCATGTGTTTATATGTATATATATATATATATACACACTGGTAGAGATATATATATATATATATATATATATATATACACTGTGTTTCCCACACATTGTTTTATTTGTGACGGAGTAGCTCACAGTCACACAGATTGGGTTCTTACATTACAGCTGGACAGAGCAGAACAGAAGACATGCATTTTTCAAAGTTGCAATATTTTTAACTTGACACAGTGTCTTAAAAACATGGTGCTCATGGTGCAAGATGCTGGAAAAACAGCGTGATATGACAAAATCAACCAAAACAGTTGTCCGACTGCATGTGTTTATATGTATATATATATATATATACACACTGGTAGAGATATATATATATATATATATATATATATACACCGTGTTTCCCATACATTGATTTATTTGTGACGGCCCACCACAATATCAACACTGACCGCCACAAATAGATTTTCCAAAATGCTTTGACTTTGTTGAATAAACATGAGCTCTGCACGTCTCAAAGTCAAAACGGCGTGGGTGTTTTTATATGAATGCATCTTTGAAGGGAACTGACTGTCTTTTGAAAGTTTTGCTTATAAAGCAGCATTTATGAGTAGAGCGCTGTTTTGTTTACAGCCGTTACTGGGGAAACCGCTATTTCTGCCGCACCTAAAGCGCCTCCTGCTGGCAGAGAATGAATGTGCATTTTCAATAAGCCCAAAAACAAAAACATATTTATATTGTATTATATTACAAATATACATTTATGAAATATATATGTATCTATTAAAAGATTAAAATGTAATGTCTTCACTTGATGGCTTTTTTCCAGCAAATATTGATAAATGCCATTATTTCAGTTTATTATTTAAATAACTATATAAATTCATGTACGGTATGTCATAACGTTGATGTATTTATTATGCAGCTACTTAAGAAATAAATAATTAATGAACAAGAAATATTGATTTGAGTTTAAATAATTTCATTATGTGAGAACAAAGAGACTGCAAAGAAACATGACACATGAAACTAGCACATTTATGTTGTAAATTGGCTGGATGGGTCAATTATACAGTTTAGTGGTCATTAAAAATCATGATTCAAGTATTCCTAAAAGTATGTCTGTTCGTCACTATTTACCCTGTTTAGCTCAAAGAAAACTCTGCAAAGACTTGGATGAAACCAGTTGTGACAGTGTCAAGCTGGTCACGTTTTTGCCACACGTTACCTCTGCACACAAAAAAATAAAACAAATAAATAAATAAATAAAAAGTCTCTTTTTCTTTAAGCTTGTGTAAGTGTGATATTCTTAGGCTCTACCAGGAACATTTCTGCAAAAATGGCATTAAGTACTAACAGAGGGAGCATCAGAGCACGCAAGAAAACATCTGGATGACACCTGTAAACAGCACATGACCTGACAGTACATCCACGCTGCAGGAGACCAGGAAATGTGAATAACGTGTGAAGACAGTGCATCTTCATAAACCAGCTGTGTCAAGTATGCTCCTCCTCTCTTTTTCGCCACTGCACACTACATGCACTGAGGATATTGAAACATGCCACATAAACATCCTAATACTTATCTGATTGCTTACAAAGTTTGGGAGCATTGAGTCTTGAGTAAATCAAATAATTTGGGAGATACTGGGATGTTTCGCAAAAGTAAAAGATCAGAAAGACAGAATGTTTTCGTTCACGTCGTGCTAATTTCACACACTTCGAAATCCATGTAAAAACCAACATGTCAACCTACATTGATGAACAGAACAGAGAAAAACAGTCGCAAAGAAGCCAAAAAAAACAACCCTGCAGACCAGACAACAACCTCACCACTAAGATAAATCATGTTTGATCAGTGTGGTTATGAACACTGGCACGCTGAAGCGATCATTTTCAGACAATCTGGATACTGCGAACCTTTCATCCCAAATCTGCCTCTAATTTCAGTCAAACTGATGCAATGGGAGACTAACAGGTCAATTCTCATCATTTTTCTGCTCTGCCCACCATAGAAATAAGCTCTTAAAGACCTGCCCTAGATCTGAACAACCCCACTGTCTGATGAAATATTTGATCTGCGTATGATGTAACATATAATCGAGTATCAGAGCATATAGGATGATGCAATACGTGTCATGAAGATTCTAATTTGGAAAGGACATGTCTAGAGTACCTGATATCTTCTTACTTCACTACACAATCAACATGAAACGTTCACGGAAGATGAATAGAGAGGCCTCCCACACAAAATTCACATTTCAAAGAGACCACACAAACACTGCAAGCCTGCAGACTGGCTGCAGTATGCATTTAAAACGATGAATATACAATATCATTAAATCTTGTAAAATAGTTATTATTGTAAAAGAAACGGGTAAACTTTTGAACATTTAGGTAATATTTCCAATGCAACAAAATGGTTAGGTAAAATATGGCTATTTTTAAGTCCCTAAAGCATCTGCTAAATAAATCAATGTAAAAATTATGAATTTTTTATTTATTTAATTAATGCTAAGTATGAATTCCTTTACAAAACTGGCTTGTTGTGGCATGGAGTGGCACTGCAAATGTGTGTCGATGGTCACTTTAGTTTCTTAAAATGTTTCTCACCTGCATAGTCCTGCAATACGCATGTTTGTCAGTGTAGTCCAAAGCCCCTGAACCTGTGAACAACAAATCACAGCCTATGAGCATTCACTAAAACTCAATGAAAGCACTTTAAGAACTTTAACTCATTTCAATAACTGTCCACAAGCTCATCTGTGCTGTGAATATTCATCCAAAAGCATCGTGAACAGAGCAGCATTTTCATGGGTCACGACCTGGCTCAGTTGAGCCTGGAATGTAAAACCGAACCAAAGGAAGCAAAAAAGAACCCTGCAGGGGATTGTTTCATTTGCTCGCAGGATTCATTAAGTCATTTTTGACTCAGGATCTCAGCTTCTGCTCATTGTAAGCCCAAAAAATAGATGTTTTCTTGGCAGGAGCAAAAAAAAAACCTAAGTTCTGCCAAAACAGACAATACAGCAGTATAAGGAGCTAAAACAGATGCCAGACTGCACAAGGGCAATTCAGAGCTGAGGCCCTGGCTTTCTCTCCCTCTCTAGAACGATCCACAGTGGAAAGAAAAGCCTTCTCCCTGTCCTCAAATGAACTCAAACATGAGCTTCCTGTTAGACCCTGGGAGGAAACACCCAGCACAGCAACCTCACACTAACAGAGGAAGGCCTTCACTGCCGAATTCTTCTCTGCCTGCAAAATTAGGTCAAGCACTTAAGAGCTCCTCGCTCATACCCACAAGTTTGCTCTCTAAAATGAAAGCGCACACACGCTGACATACATAAATCAGCGCGACCTAGGTTCCCTCGTGCACACGCATTCACAAAATGCGTCACCTGATGTCTCCCTGCATGACAGGTAAAACACAGCCCTGTGACTACAGAATGTGTGTCAGTCTGACTGTCCTCTGCTGCACTCGGAATCTGAGCGGCTTAGGCACGTCCCCTTGTGCTCTATAATGTTCCCGACTCCTGTAGGACACGTATTGCTCTATTGGCTCTTCCTCACATCTGTGCAACCTTTTAGTGCCAGCTTCAGATAGGCTACAGGCTAAAAGCTCAGGACACGCCCCTGACCTCAGCTGACACTACAGGCCACTCAAACCATCCAGCCACTCATATCTGAGAGCCACACAAAAGCGTGGATTGATTGTGTGAATGTGTCAGGTTAGACAACGCGCCTCCCCCTCCCTATGGTGATTGCATTTAAAATTTCAAATAATGTATGCTTTTTTCGTAGGGTTAGCTGAGGTAATCCGGCTTGGAAATGGGCCAGCGAAGAGACATGAATTTATGACTCTGTCGATGCAAAGAGTGCGGATTGTTCGCCTCTTTGTAGTCTTGAAGGGTTCGGTTGGCTTTGCTCAATTATCTGGTGATTTTCAAACCGTTTTAGCAAAAGATGGTGGTAACGAGCCGTCATGATTATCAAATCATTTTGAAAGGCCAAGCAAAATGCTCAGATTACAGTACCGAGTCCAGGTCATGTTGACACATTACATGTTTGGCCTTCTATCTCTGCTGAAATGCAGCAAGGGAAGAAAGGGAAAGCGCACTGAAAAACTTGAGGCTGAGCACAAAAGCAGAGAAGGGATGAAGAAAAAAGTCTGAGAGAAAAAAAATATGACAATACCATACGCCAAATTTCTGTCATCTGTTGCAAAGAGTTTGGGGAGACATTCCTGTGGGATTGACAGTTTGGCGTGGCTGTAGCACCAGGGCCCAGTCATGGAAAGACACTTCCAGCATGCACACACACTTTACGAACTCAGCAAGACCTACGGAATGCAATCTGGCCTCGGTCGTGCGCTCTCAGCATCGGCCTGGCCTGAGCCTTCCTGCCTAGGGTTACGTAGCTCTGTGTTCAACGGCGGTTTGGTTATTTCCATGTAATGTAAATGAAAAGATATTTTTGGCAAGACAAATCAAGTGCTGAGAGACAACATTAAGACAACTGAAAATTACTGATTTTTCTTTTTGTTTTGAAGTGCTGACATCATCTGCATTCTGAATGTCTCCTCCTATTTTAGAAGGTATACGACAGGAAAAATTATTGAGGAAAAAAAGAAAAATATACAGGCCCTTCAAAATAATGCATGACATTGTTTACAGTGAGCGTTGGGTCACATTAAGAGGCATGCATATGTAAAACATCTGACTGAGGTTTCGTGTAAAACCTCAAAAATACCTAAAACATCCCCAGACTTTAAAAAAAAAAATCTTATTTTCTGCTTAGGTTTCGAGGCTACTTCTATTTATTCAAAATGCAAACAAGCAACGATAAGGACAACTAAAGCTGCATCTGAATTTTTTTTATGCACTTTTACCAAAATTACCACTGACAACAAACTCATAACACATTTTACAAAAGGAGAAATAAATCTGCTGATGATAAAATTGTGTTTTTAAAATATATTTAAAGTTCTTGCTAATTTCAGTTTAGCAACTCATTCACAGAAGACAATTAGAGCATAAGAAGCCCATTTTAGCCTAGGTTGGTAATAGCACAGTCAGCATAACAAATAACTCAAAGGATGTTGGTTAACACAGCATGTATGTGTAACACACAGAGCGGTCAACAACCAGAAGTAAAGCCTCACAGATACATAATGAGATGCACAAATCCATGCACTTTCATATCTATTAATAATACATCACAAAACACTTATGCACAATAAAGCATTATACGTGCATGAAACTGTAGTTTATATTATTCAGTAGGCTTCATTATTCTAACATCTGTCTGATGTACGTGTACAAAAAAGTGCACAGATAAAGGCAATCTCACTTTTAGCATATAACAGCAGATTATTATCTCATTCTATTATTTACACTGAGTTTATTTACACTCACTCTGTATATTTATATGTATACTTAAAGACAAAATCGTACCAGATAAAAGGTGGACGTACATTCCATCTCTGGGTTGAGTCCGATATAGATTTTCGCCATTTCAAGCACCACTGCAACACACAGACACACACACACACACACAGTCTAACATTTCAGAATAAGCTCTATTCTCACTGGCTGTAAAAAACAAAAACAAAGTCTGCAACATAGCAATATGCATTTAGAGAAACAAAGCCTGGTCAAATAACTGGCATGTATTTCAATAACTGCATTATCATCAACTCTAAAAGGAGCATATTGTCTTAGGACTTGTTTATGCATGATACAAGTCAAGGAGGCCACCTAAGATATTACAGCATACATTTTCAGTACAAAGGGATCAAAAAATATTTTATTTTAATAATAATCATATCAGTTGAGATTCATCTATTCATTTCACTATGTTGCATGACACACTGTCCACAACCTCAGTCCAGTTTGATATAGACGGGATGAAATAGGTTGTAAAAAAAATACATAAGCCTGGCAGAAATATTCTACTGAGCAACCCTATTTATGAAATACACACACTCGATTTATTTTTCTTTGAAATGAGAAGAGCAGATCAGCCTCATGGTGCCTTCAATAAAAGAGAAGAATTTACACAACCCCAAATAAGAGAGCCGCACGATCGATTATTTGAAAAGCACGAACAAAAACGTCTGGCCATGAAAAACTGACCTCTTATGTGTCTCTAACTCCATTATTCTCCTCGACATGCACTAACAAAACGAGTTAACGTTATTCCTCGTTTAATTCATTCGAGTGCGTGCTCGACAGATAACGTTATTTTACATTTGATGCCAGGAAAAGAAGCTGTGAAAACTAGGCTACAGTTCAATAATGCCCCACATGCCGGCTTCGTATGATTGGCGCATGTAATTTCAAGCGTAACGGCGAAATAAAAACAATACAGAAAAAAACCGACCGATGGAACCGAGTAAACTATGATAACGGCAAACTTACATTATTTACGTCCGCGTTTCCTCCGCTTCGTAGCTTCATCTGGATCATTCGTGCTCCTTTAGTTGTCGTTAGAAACGAGCAACGGCAAAACAAACAAAGGAAACTTGACGGGAGTCGTTGGGTAAAACCACGACGACCGTTATTATTTTTCAAGTCCAGGCTGAAATTCTTGAACGCGGTTAACACACGACCGTTAATGCGGTCTGTCCGCCAGCAAACTATCACAACCTTCTGATCTACACAAAAACATGACGACACACTACGTCTTTTAAAGGTAGTTTTTTTTTTTTTTGGTAATGATCAAGAGGAGCTGTTCATCCTCGCGACAGCCACACCGGAGCGGACCGACAGCCTCACACTAACTACCGTGAACTAGAAGATCACACAAGTTCAGCTAAGGTGAACTGTGATTCACACACACGCGCACAGCGACCGTTACACAAGAGCCAGACAGCAGCCGCTGACCTAATATCAGCACTAAATAACACACTGTTTACTCTCATTCACATTGGATATATAATGATGGTGGCTGTGGGCATTTTTTCTTTTAATTCATGGGCCCGTCCGGCAGATTTACCTCAGAGACTAACAGCTCGACGAATACGCAGTCCGTTTTCAAACCGACGAAAAACCTTAAAAAACGTTAAAAAGTTTCGACTTGAGAAGTCTGTTGTGGTTGATCTCAGAGAAAGAAACACCGTAGGTAAATACAAGTAGAGAAAAGAAAATTGTGGTTTAAAAACATCCTTGATTTTTTTTTTATGAGGAAGAGGGTGTTAGGAATTATATTTGCTCATTTGCTGATCTCTGAAATAAATAAGACATACTACCTGTTGGCTTGCCGATTTATGTAGTAATAATAAAATATTTTACCAACCACTTAGTATAAATGTCTGCTTATGAAATATTTACAGGCGTTTAACCGTTCTGTAAAGATTTTCATAAAAGTTTGTAGATGTCCCGGGTCTTGTAAGCCGTCGTTTAACCCATTTAGTGAGCACATGTATTTTAATTCTTGGATAGTAACGTTACAATGAAATAAACTTCATGGCTTTTCTAAAAGAATAAATAAATAAAATAAAAAAGGACCATATAAACAACTAGTAAAAGTATATCCCTGGTCATACGTGTAAACAGTTGCTCTAAGAGACCAAACAGAATGTTTAAAAAAAAGAAATAAGAAATAATAATCATTTATTTATTTTACTTTGTTTTATTTAATGTGGCAATACTTCAAAAGACAAAATCTACAGTTGTATAATATGAATCAGTCAGTTACTTATTTAAAAATGTGACCACTGACATATTTACATGTTTATCATCATGATTTATATGAGAATAATGGACCCTTTTAATATTATATGCATCAATTATGGTAGCTTTATCTGTATTATGACATGTTTTATGGAGCCTTGGCATCATCTTTCAGAAAGGCAAATTGTCATTAAACAGCTTCAGTCATGTATTTACACCAACAATATTAAAATGCACTTTCATTTTTTTTATAGCTGACAAAAAAACGTTTTAGTCACAAACGGGATTAAATGGGTTAAGTGAGAAGGACTTCAGGCTATCATGTGATATGATGTTAAACCTGTGTGTGCGTGTGTGTTTGCCATCAAAGGCATTTTGAAGGGCATTTTTATCAGGTTTTGGCTAACAGTGTGTGATGTGAGTCATGCATTCATTCATTAAAGACTTATTCACATACTAATTCGCAACATTAATATTAAGAATTTCTGTCTCGACATGTTAAATGTTTTAATAGAAACAACAAAAAAACTTGACCTTAACTTACAATACTATAAACTCTGTTAAGGAAAATACTCATTTACCTACCCCTATTATTGGCTCTCAGAGATCATTAGTGTGATTTTTTTCACACTCAAGGCTCCTTTAAGTCAAGTCTGCTGAATCTGTGGTTTATAGTCAGGAATAACAATTTCACAAATGTATTTCTGAATGTAATACCCATTCATAAAAAATACTTTACAAAGCCACTTAAAACAGACAGAGTACTGTTTTATCTGTCAGGTACAGATGGAAGTTTAGTTGCAAACAAGGCAATATTTATCCAATAAAATGTGCAGAAAATAAAATAAAATATTAAATAATATCTAAAAAAAAAAAACATCACTCAGCCAGAAAATGTTATTAAAGAAGAAAAAGAAATCAGGAATGACTAGCTAGTGAGCATCTAAAACCAGCTAGAAACCATCTTAAGTTGGATTTTCCAGCACAGTCTGTTACTTGCCAGATCATTGCTTAGTTGTATACAGTCTACAAAATATTCAGTTACTTTTAAGTTCATTTCATGTCAATAAGTTTCACCTCAGCCAACACAACTGATGTTGCGCCACAAGGGCAGGAACATGTCTTTAGGGATATCTTAAGGACTTTTAAAACAAAACACTGCACTGAGATACATGTGACAGGATAATGTGGAATACAGCGATAAACAATCACATACGTGGAATTTTTATTAGCTATCGTCCGATATGGGACCTGAAAGAAAGCGCTCGAAATCGCTACTCTTGCTATGGTTACCGAGTCAAGCTGATGACTTTTTCTTTTCTAGATCTCTTGGCGATTTTGTAACTTACTTGTAATCTAACTTTTGTGGTTACTGAACCTTTTTAGTGCTGTTAAAAAATTAATCGCATCCTAAATGAAAGTTTTTGTTTACATAATATGTGTGTGTGTACTGTCACTGTGTATATTTATTATGTATATATAAATGCACACACATGCATGCATATATATATATATATAGGAAAAATATGTTTTATGTATAAAATATTTATATATAAATTATATATATATATATATATATATATATATACACATATTTTTTTCATATATATATATAATGTGTTTGTGTATTTATATATACATAATAAATATACACAGTACACACATATTTTGTAAACAATAACTTAGACGCGATTAATCGTGATTAATCGTTTGACAGCACTAGTTATACCTACATACTATGTAAAAAAAGAATAGATCTATACGTTTTTATGTTGAAATCAGTTGAGAAGGTTCAAGCCTTAATTAGGGGGCTCAGACCATCCCAAACCCCCTCATAATTCGCACCCTCGTTATACAGCTCCGATTGGTGACCCATGCCTGCCATCTACTGTGATGAGAGAAGCTGCATGCATCATTTACTGAAAGGAATTGTAGTCTGCCAAAGCAGAACACTTTATAAACCCCGAGCTTTCGCTTTTTGTGTCTTACAAGAAGTAAACAAGGTCTTCTTAATAGACCGTGCAACTATTATTATGAAAAGAAACGGTTTCGAATCAGATTTCTGTCCATGTCTCATCAATCTCTCTGACATTAGGCGCAATATATCACAAAAAGGCGGAGATGTCACTCAACCGTGCCCGTAAAGGTGGGCGGACTGGAGTGTCCCCCCCTCTGCCAATGGCAAAGCACCGACGCTAGACCCGAAATCCCTCAAATCAGCCGTCAGCCCGCGGCGGGAGCACACTCTGAATTAGCCCGTATCGCGCAGGAGATGACGGATCGTGTCTCCGCGCCCGCAGCTCACGCACGGACCGCGGCGCGCAGAGCAGCAGCGTAACGTCACGGCAAAACTTCAGAAGTTCGCTTTCTCCACGCATGTCACCATGCGCAGCATCTCATCCTGCGGTGCACTGCTGTCAGTCTACTACCCCCAGATCTTCCTCATCCTCAGCAGCGGCAGCTACCTGTAGGTTTGAACAACTGCTTTTTTATTCTGACCTTTAATATCCTTTCGGCGCTTTTGGCACAACAGTCAACAACTGGAGAAAATTAAAGCGTTACGGTTTATCGTTATTGCATTGCAAGATTAGACAGTCATCTGGATATGAATGGTTTTTAAGAGTGCAAACAAATCATCATGTCCACATTTGTTGGAAATGGCATTATTTAGTGCACCTGCTGTGTTACACCATGAGACTGAGTATGTGCATATGCTGTTAATTATGTTTGAGCCATTTTGTGCTTGAAAAACAAATGCTCAATGACTCGTTATATTTAGAATATATATATAGAGAGAGAGAGAGAGAGAGAGAGAGAGCGAGAGAGTGCCTTGCGATGTATTCATACCCCTTAATTTTTTTCACATTTTTATTTTGTTGCTGCCTTATGTTAAACTGCTTTAAATTACAACAATCTACACTCCATACACCATAATTGTCAAGCAAAAAGGTGATGAGCAGAGCTGGTTTCCTTCAAACATGATGCTTAGAATTGAGGTTCATCAGACCAGAGAATCTTGTTTCTCACAGTCGGAGGGTCCTTTAGGTGCTTTTTTGTAAATTCCAAGTGTGTTTTCATGTGTCTTGACTGAAGAGAGGATTGAGTTTGGCCACACCGCCATAAAGACTGGATTAGAGTGTTGCAGCGATGTTTATCCCTATCTCCACATATGATCATGGAGCTCAACTAGAGTGACCATCAGGTTCTTGGTCACCATGCTAACCAAAGCCCTTCTCCATCAATTGCTGAGTTTGGCCAGGAGGCCAGCTCTAGGAAGAGTCCTGGTTGTTTCAAACGTCTTCCATTAAGGGTAACAGAGACTACATGCTTCTGTGACCCTTCAATGAAGCAGAATTCTTCTCTTCCACAGATGTGGGGCTTGACACAAACCTATTTCTGAGCTCTAAAGGCAGTTCTTTTGACCTTGGGGCTTGGTTTTTCTCTGATATGCATTATCAGCTGTTAGACCTTTTATTACGACGTGTGTGCCTTTCCAGATCATACCCATTCAATTGAATTTCACTCGAAGTGTAGTAATATCTACAAGCAAAATGAATGCTCCTGAGCTAAATTTCAACTGTCCCAGATACTTAATTATGCAATGGAATCATTTTAGTTTTTTATTTGTAATAAATTTGCAAAGATGTTAAAAAGCTTTTTCAGAGAAAAACCAAGCCCCGAGGTCAAAAGAACTGCCTTTAGAGCTCAGAAATAGGTTTGCGTCAAGCCCCGCATCTGTGGAAGAGAAGAAAAATTCTGCTTCATTGAAGGGTCACAGAAGCATGTAGTCTCTGTTACCCTTAATGGAAGACGTTTGAAACAACCAGGACTCTTCCTAGAGCTGGCCTCCTGGCCAAACTCAGCAATTGATGGAGAAGGGCTTTGGTTAGCATGGTGACCAAGAACCTGATGGTCACTCTAGTTGAGCTCCATGATCATATGTGGAGATAGGGATAAACATCGCTGCAACACTCTAATCCAGTCTTTATGGCGGTGTGGCCAAACTCAATCCTCTCTTCAGTCAAGACACATGAAAACACACTTGGAATTTACAAAAAAGCACCTAAAGGACCCTCAGACTGTGAGAAATAATATTCTCTGGTCTGATGAACCTCAATTCTAAGCATCATGTTTGAAGGAAACCAGCTCCGCTCATCACCTGCAGAGTACCATCCCAAAAGTAAAGTGTGCTGGTAGCAGCCTCATGCTGTGGGGCTGTTTTTCAGCAGCAGGGACTGAGGGACTCGTTAGAGTAGAAGAAACGCTCAGTGCAGCAAAATATTGAGATAGTCTTAATGAAAACCCAGTCCAGAGCATTCAGAACCTCAGACTGGGCAGAAGGTTCACCTTCCAACAGGACAATGAACCTAAGCACACAGCAAGAGTGGCTTATAGACAACTGTGTGAATGTAATTGAGTGGCCCAGCCACAGCCTGGGATTGAACACAATCAAATATTTCTGGAGAAACCTGAAAATGTGTGTCTGCCCCCATCCAACCTGACAGAGCTTGAGAGGTGAAGAGGTGAGGTGAAGAATGGCAGATAATTGCAAAATGCTGATGAGAAAAGCTTGTTGCATCAAACGAATCAAACGCATCAAAAGGCTTGAGACTGTAAAGGTGCTTCAGGTAAATATTTAGTTAAGGGTATGAATTCTTATGCAATGTACTTATTTCAGTTTTTTATTTGTAATAAATTTACGAAGTTGTGACCATTCTGTTTTTGCTTTGTCAGTATGGTGTATGGAGTGTAGATTGATGTGGAAA